TTTTTTTTTTTTTTTTTTTTTTTTTTTTTTTTTGTCAATACAAACAATAATGTTTCAGCTTCAGGAGGAGATTAGACATTTGTGTGATTGGACTAAGGAAGTCGGTTTTACTTCTTGCTCATTTGCGTTAAAAAAAAAAAATGACTAGAGCTTAGACAGCGAACATGGCTTAATCTTTGATGCACACGAAACGCTTTATATCGAACCCTCTACTCGAGCATTCCGAAATTGTGAAAGTGTAGATACGAAGCAGATACGAAAATTGAAGTAAAACGAGTCGGCGAAAATCGCGTGAAGAAACAAGCGAATTGTCAGTCTTTATTCATATATAAATTTTTGAGATGACAAGATCAATGTAGAGCGAAAAAACTTCGATCGATCAGTAGACAAAGCGAGGCGATTTATCAGAAATGATTTCGGTTCACTGCGTAGTTATACTAATCGCTTGACATACTATTTTCAAGATACTTGTGCATCTGCGCCCATAGAAAGTATTCGATTTGCTGAGAAGGAAATTCGGAAGCTCTCAATAAATAAGCTCTATATTGTCTTGGCGTGAAAATAAACTTGATCCGCTCACTAAGCGACTTGAGAAATTTGAAAGGCGCAATAAGAGCAAATACTGTTATCAATAATTTGCAAGCCATAGAATATTTTTGCTTATAACAAATATAAACATTATAGTTGGCCAAGGCCGATTGTTAAGCGTCCAACGGTACTTCGCCTAATATAATTATATTCATAAAATCTTATATTTTGTCATATAAAGACTTTTCAAAATGAGACATTATATGGAAAACGGTCGAAGATGCGATTCTGTTCGGACCATTTGCAGTATGGGGATCAGTCTTGCGTCAAAATACGTCGACGTAATAAATTTCATTAACAGTTTTTTAAAAATTTGCATACTGAAGATTGAGTATAGGAAAATACATGAGCGGATATCAGATGAACAGACAGACGGACATATAAACTTTAGTATAATAAAAGATGGATCTATTGCATGTCCTTCTAGGTGGTATGTTGTTGTATACATTCCAGCGAACTTAATATATTCCATACCGGAAAAGGGATAAACATGTTTACAGTGAATTCATCTACAAATTTCATGCAATGCTCAGGTGCACATATAGCGAAGACGTTTACAAAGACGTGAGATGGTTTTTTTTTTCTTGTGCTCGTCTTTTTCAATTGTAATCAATTAATAAAGAAAGTACGTAGACGAAGACGATAAAGGAAATAAGGTATGAGGAGAAAAGTAAAAAAAAAAAAAAAAAAAAAAAATTGGAAAATTTTTGCAAAGTCAAAGACGCAAGACGCAAACGTGCAAGAGTAAAACATATTCACGTTCTTGAAGGCACATTTACGCCAAAAACAAATCTCTTCAAAATTCTTTACAAATATTAGATTTTGAATGGTGTAGAAAACTATATATGAAATATTATCTGCATTGCTATATATATGTATATAATGTTATAATCTAATAACTACAATAAATATTAATTAGAAAATGAATCAGTAAATTGTATAATAAATGAAATTATTGATAATCTGCAAACACATGCACACAAACGTGTGATGTTCAATTGCGGTAGAAAGGATGTATAGCGCATCGCAAAACAATTGCAACTTTCTTCCTTTCACATAAATATGTTCATTTCTTTAGCTGACAGAATAAGAGCAACCGTCGTTATGTTTTAAGTGCTAGCAGAGGAATAACGAAATGTATCACTGTGACCCAAAAAAAAAAAATAAAATAAATAAATAAATAAATAAATTAAGTGAATTTATAACAATTTGGCTCGGGGGAAGTTATTCCTAGTGCATAAGAAGGGCATATTCACTCGATAGATCGATTATTTCCGGATCGTATGCGTACATTCACGTCCTTTGTTCGGTAATGTTCGGTACTTTTCATGATGCCCTAATAGTCTGAAATCATTGCTTCAGTCATACTAAGAAACGAAAAAATTACATTTTTCGACAGCAGCTAACCACTATGACAAGGCACTTGACGTAGATGACAAAGATAATGTAGTACCAATGTAGACAAAAAAAAAAAAAAAAAAAAAAAAAAAAAAAAAAAAAATTGTTTCATTTGTTCATTGTACCAAAGAAGTTTAAATGAAAAGTTCATCTTATTTTGTGGTCACAATATTGTATCCTAGATCAAAGCATCTATAAATATATATATAAATTTAAAAATTTTTTTTTTTTTTAATATAAAATATAATACTAAGGGAAAATCTTTTGAGCACAGAAAAGTTATAGGTAGGCTTTTGCGGAAATTGAGAAGCATATGTTCGTGATAGCAAATTTTTTTCTATTAGGGAGCAGTGAGATAAAAGTCTGTATAACTTATTTATTTTTTTTTTATTACATCGTTACAATCGTACATTTCTACAAGTAAGAAACAGAAATTTCGTGGACCTTCTTTCTGCCAATCTGTCTGCTCTTCGCATTTTGGTAGCATGTAATTTTAAATAAAATGTAATAACGCACGTGACGCATGGATCGATGTTCTAATTTTATTTCTCTGAATATTACAAACTCTCTCCCCCCCAAATCAGTTTGTAATTCTCATTGTCAAAGGGAGAGAAAAAAGTTGCAAGAGTTTCGACGAACATCGCATCGTATAAAAGTGTGATGGGTAAACGTTTTATCATGATTACTGTTTCTATTGCAGTTGTCATTGTTATCGCAATAATTATATGTGTGTTTTTCTTACATTATCTCAATATTACTTAC